ATTTTTAAAGTAATCCTCTCTCTTATGGTTTGAAAATCATCAACTTGTAGACTTTGAATAGCTTGAGATTGCTCAAACAATCAAAAGTCTGTGTTTAAGCAGAAACAAAAATATGCAAAATGTAAGTCTGAAGCCTTTTCAAGTTGATTTTCTGTCTGTAAGGAAAGAAAAACACATTTAAAAAATCTCAAAAACTATGGTATGTAAGTCTTTTGACACTAACATAGAGTGCTAGTGATTAGCAGTAAATGGGCTCCAACATGTAAAAAGTCTAGTGAAGAGTGACCATAGAGGGTTCAAACCGATCGCAACTTATATATGCAGCCACCTGGAACAGACTTCCTCTCTTGCCAAACACATGCCATGTTTAGCCTGGCTGCTCTGTGTGTGTGTGTTGTCTCTGCTCTGTTACTGTGGTGCTCGTTTGGTCCTCCGCTGTTGTGCAGCATGTGGCCCACAGATTAACGCTTTAAATGAGACTCTCTCCTGTTCTCAATGCCCCCTCTGTTTGCTTACAAGGCCCGGGTGAGACAGAGTGGAAGGATTTGAGAGGGTTTTTGTATCTCCTCCTGTTCAGAGGGGGGCATCCTATTATGAGTGAAAAGCTAGGGGAGGGCATGGTCACAAAGGGTTAAAACCTGAGAGTGTATTTTTTTGGCATAATATGCAGAATTGGCCCTTTTTTTTAAAGACATGTGGAAAACGGCTCCAAACAGATTTTAGTGTAAGACAGGTGCCAGCTCGGCCATCTGCTTTCAGTTTTACCTCCCTGTCTGTCTGCTCTCAGCCGATCCCCTCCTCTTTTTACAGTACCGATTCATCCATATCTCTCTCTCTCTCTCTCGTCATTTCCTCTTTCCGCCAATACACATCATTTGGACCCCTCCCCATCATTGCGTTTTGGCAAACACCTTTTTAATTTCTTCCAGGTACTGGAAGAAATCAAAAGTGGGGAGAAATCAAATCAAAAGGGGAATTTATTAAGATTGAGTATGGCATCCAAAATACTGGATATTAAATGTGCAAGTATACGGGCATACACATGGATGGATTAGGGACTGTGTGAAAAATATTAGAGAGGGAATTGGGGTTAAGAAAGGGGAAAGGTTTTTTTTTTTTTTT